GCCTCATTAAAAACCTTGTCAGGAAAACTCAATAGAACAAAACCTAGTTAAGGGAAAGAGAGTATAGTGCACATATGTCTAGTACAATAGTCTTTTCCAAAACTCCCCCTAATTGATGCTCCCCCTCATAATGACAAAATTAACTTAGTTAGTTATTAAGTCTTCGTATATCGATATCATACACTAACTTTTCAAATATTGATGTCGGTAAGGTTTTAGTAAATAAATCTGGAAGATTATCACCAGAGTGTATTTGTTTGACATCAATTTCTTGACTCCGCCAAAGTTCGTGAGTGTAAAAGAACTTTAGTGAAATATACTTAGTTTGTCTCTCTTGATATACCCTCCTCTAACTTGAGTAACATATATTACATTGTCTCATTTATAATTGTAGGAGTATTTGAGGTACATGATAACTTGCATGTATTCTCAATATGATGGATGACAGATTGAGAATACATGTTAATGTCATACACTAATTTTTTAAATGTTGATGTCGGTAAGGTCTTACCATTATGTCAAATGTGTTCAGATCAAACACTTACCACTAAGCTAAAAGTTTTAACTCTTAATATTCCATCAATGACAACGTTGAATCCCATACTTAACGGTGGACAAACATGAGGGATTTTGTAATGCACATATAAGCACATCAATGGGTTGATGTAGTTAAGCACCAATGTCACGTAGATAGGTCTCCCCATAGTGTCCACATGTAAACGAGTCCATTGAAAAATTGTTGGCATAATAACCATGTGTGAGTTCGAATCTAGAAATAAATGGTGGGGGGAGGATGGGAGGAGGAGAAGGAGAAAAAGAAAGAAAGGGAAAGCTGAGAAAAAAAGGAAAGGGAAATAAAAAAAAAAATATGAGTTGTCATAAAAAAATTTGAAAGGTCAATAATAACCATATCCGGGAAGAAAATCTCAAAAATACTTATAAATTTATGAACTTTATAAATAACAGTAATTATTATTAATTTCATAAGATTATGACAACTAAATATAATAACTACATTATATAAGATGATATTATGTTAATAATAGGAGATTACCCAACCAAACACACAATAGGGTTAATATATATTTTGTGATACTTTTTTAGGGTTTACTAAAATTACGTCTTTATTTTATTAATGTACGCTTTCCTTAATAAAAATATTTTTTTTTACAAATCTGTTTTCTAAAAACTATTGGTAGTCACATCACGTCAGTTACAAGTCAATTGCAAATATATTATTAATTTTTCTCTTTCCTCTTATCAATGATGATCATAAAAAAGTCCAAGCTTTTACAGTTATCTAGATTATTTTAAACGTGTGCGCTCGCGATTCGTTTTTGAAAAGTGTCAGGAATTTATTTACGATAATAACCATTCTTATTCTGTGTTTTTATTTGTTTAAAATGATAATTAACAAATAAGATAATTACGACTACTTAGCATGCAAGTCATTTATAATCAAGATAATATTATCTTAATAACCTTTTTTTTTCTTTTTTTAGTGATAATTTATTATATTTATTGCTTTAAAATGAACCGAGCATAAAAATTTTCTTAAAAAATTCAAGAATTATGAAAAATAATTTTAAATTAAAAAAATTAATAGGGAAGAAAGAAGAAATCATAGTATAATTTGACCATTGGCTAGTGCAAAACTTGAGAGAAAAAAAAAAAAAAAAAAAAAAATGGAATCTATGTGATAATGAATAAGTTTTAGCTATTTATAAATGGGAGGAAAAGAATAAAAATGAAAATTCTAGAATAAAGTTTTCAAAGAGATGTGATCATCTTAAAATATGCCCAAATAAATTTGTATTTTTATTATTTAGAATCCATATTCAATAAGATTTCATTTAATTGTTGCTTTTTAAGTTTCATATTAATAAATTTCTACATTTTACATATATTAATGAGTATAAGATAATAATTACAATTATTTCATCATGATTAACATCTGGAGAAATTCCATGAAAAACTTCAATAATTCTTTAAGTAGTGTAGTTCTTCAAACAATCCATTATCCCTATTAATAAATGAACTTTAACATAATATAATGCCTTCCATTGTCATAAGTTGTTTTTAAATTTTGAAAATTGATTTTTGTACTTCAAATAATAATAAATATTCTAACCCCTTATTCCCAACTGACTCTTGCTTCTCCTTTTATATATTCTCATCTTTGATACAAAACTTAGAATATATAACATTATTCCTTTTAAAGAATAAAAATACAAACATAAATTTGTTTACACTATTATAAATTATAAATATTTACTGAATTACCCTCCTTCTATTTTATCAGCTTTGACCACAAAAATTTCCAATTATACCCTTATTTTCATTATTGAAATTTTATTAATTTCTTAAAAAAATTATGATTTAGATGAAATTTTAGGATTATTCTTTTTTATATTTGATGATATTCTTAATTCACTATTAATTGTTATTTTCCCTAACTTTCATTTGAAAAATAATTATTCTTCTAATAATGAAAATAAGGGTATAACTGGAATTTTGATGATCAAAGCTGGTCAAGTAAAAAAGAGACGGACAAATAGTAACTTTGGAGGAAACACCCAGTAAATTAGGGGTAATTATGTCATTCGACCTTAATTGGGACTAGTAATAGTATAGTATGAAAATTGAAAAGATATAAAGCAAGGAGCTTTAAATTGGAATTGGAGAAGGGAATCACTTTCTAGGGCATAAAAGCTTCCGCTAGATTGACAACTTATCTGTGGTCTGCCGCTATTGACTGTAAAAAGTCTCTTCACCACACATCAAAATGGAAGTAGATGGTGGTGAAGAGTTAAAATGATCGATGGCGTTTGGTCATTTTGTGCTAAGTGTTTTGGAAAATGATTTAGGGTGTATTTAGTTCATTATTTTGGATAGGATTTTAGAAATAATATTGGGTAGTTGGATAGGGGAGTATTACGAGGTAAAATTTAAAAATTTATGAAAAAGCCCCTAAGTTTGCTAATTTAATTAAACACCCTAATATATAAAATGACAAAAACACCCCACCACTTGCAGTGCCAGATTCTGGCCACCACCGCCGGAATCTGGCCAGAAAATCGCTTTACGACACAGACCGGTCGGATCTGTGTCGTAACGCATCGTTATGGTCTGTTGTGGCCGTGACGGCCGGAAAAGGCCAAAGACCGTCAACGACGACTTGACGATCAGATCTGGCCTTTTTTGGCAAGATCCATGGTGGATCTGGTCGGAAAAGGCTAGATCGGTGAACTTCCGACCATTTCTGGTCGGCAGGTAGGCCGTTGTACAGATTTCGGCTACCACCGATGGTGGTTGTCGGAATCTGGCAAGTATGGGTCGCGGGGGTGTTTTTGCTAATTTTTAAACTTTTTTTCATGGGGTATTTAATGAAATTAATAACCTTATGAGGTCTAAAAGTAATTAAAAAAATAGGCTAATATTTCTGAAATAATGTGCTAAACATTATTTAATAAATCAGATCCAGAATATGAATAATAATAATGAACCAAACACGGCCCTAGTTTTTGTCCATTGAGTGGAGATTTTCAATGTTGTCAAGTCCCTTCAGTTTTTTTGGAAGCTTTAAGTAATGAAACTAATGTGTTGTACTCGTATTGTAGAAAGGTAGAGAGCGTTAAGTTGTATATATCTTTTCAATTTAAATAAAATGTAGTAATATAAAAATTTTTTTTTTTTTGAAATAATTCACTTAAATATATTTTGTATGCTGTTTTTTAAAAACTACCATGTTAAAAAACTCTACCAAACAGTACAATAAATCTACTTTCTCTTTTTAAATTCTCCAATTCATTTCCTCAAAAAAAGAAATTGAAAAATAAAATTAAACTCACCCTTTATTCTACTCTTTCAAAAAGCTCTTACACAGTAAAGAGAGAGAGAGAGAGAGAGAGAGAAGTGAGCCGCTGGATTTAAGATTCAAGGGCTACTAGAGACGATACTATTGTGTAGAATTGTTGGATTATATGAAGCAAGAAAATAAGACATTGAATATTAATTTAAAGGGTTTAAATTGTCAAAAAACATTATCATAATAGTATCATACTTTTTAACTTTAATAGAGACAGTAATTTTCCTACCACCATCAAAAGTGAACCTCATCTTTTCAAATTCCACTAAAATCACTTTACCCACCAAGGATTTTGTGGGTTTCTTGTAATTTCTGAAGTTTTGCGTCATCAATCACTAAAATCCATGACGCCATTCAACAAAACCATTATTTATTTATTTATCAAAGGATTATTGTGTGTTAATCATTTTGGAAAAATAAATAAATTATACATTCCTAAAATTTAATAAATATTTTTTATTAAAAAAAAAAGGTAGGATATGAATACTTTTAGACCAAAGAATAATATTTTGAGTGTTTAATAGAAAAATTAGTAGGTTTTATGATCATTTGGTTTATAATTTATATGTTTAAGGTAAGAATCACAAAATTTTCATTTCAATATAAAATCCGTAATATATAAGAATGTTCTAAAATTTACACAAATGCTTGTATTATTGAAAACCATTAGATTTATGGATGTATGGTAGAGAATATATGGGTATTTTTTTTGTTCTATAGTGAAAAATGGTTTAAATATTTATGCAGTGAGATTCGACTACCTAAATCACTCTTATAAATTCAATATTCAATCGACTTCTGTAAGATGTATCCAATGAGTGACATGACATCCAGCATTGTCTTTGGCCACGTTTTGGTTGATTTTGAGGAACGCACATAGCAAACATGCTTTGGTAGAATTTATGATGGACCAAATGCTTCGCTAATCTATATTTTGATAATTTCTTAAAACCAGATTTAGGGTGTAAAATGACATAATTCAGGAATTTAATGAGGCCAAATATATTTATTTTTTATTGAATGAGCAGGGTTAGTTTGGAACTTGTGCGGGAAGGCATTCCTCCTTGCCGTGACACTGAAGCTGTAGAATTGTGCCAAATAAACACTCACACACATACGAACTATTTTCAATAGCGAATCAGGAAACAAACTCTCCCAATTCTCAATTCTTCTCTCTCTCTCTCTCTCTCTCTTTTCTATTCCAATTCAATTCATCTCTATGCCATGAAGAGATCTTTTCACCGTCAAAATTCCCACTACCACCCGCCCAATTACAACTACCACTACCGTCCCAAATTGCCACCCAATCCCGTCCCTCCCCAACGACCACCTCCGCCCACCACCACTCCCAACTTTGTTATTCACCTTCCTTTCCCTTCCTCCGCTTGTTCCAAACCCCACCTCCAAAACATTGTTTCCAAGCTCAATTTATGTCACCAGAAAGCGGTTCCTTCCCCCACCGGCTGCTCTTTCTTCTTCGGGCAGTGGGTGGACACCCTTAACGCCATGGTCAGTCTCTGGGAGTCCCGCCTCAATGGGGTCCACAACTTGACTCCCAAACTCGTTGCAAACGTCTTCGTTCCGTCTGATAAGGACGAGCTGGTGGAAAGGTTGAAGCTTTTGTTCACTGATCATATCAGGCGTTTGATGGAAGGGGAGACGGTGAAGAAGTGGCAGAGGAAGAAGGATGAGAAATCAGATGAAATTGCCGCGGTTTCGGCGAAGATGAGTGGTAAAAATCGGCTGAGTTTGAGTTTGTTTAATGAGTTGAATGAGGAGAAGAAAGTTCTGTTGCAAGAGAGGGACTTGATTGTGAGGCGAGTGAGGGAGTTTAAGAGTGCTATGAGGTGTCTTTTGAAGTGTATAGGGTGTCAAAGTGTGGAGGATGAGTGTGCAGAAGCGGGCTTGGGTTTTGAGTTGTTTAGGCTTGAGGATGAGCGATTTGATTGGGGAAAGATGCAAGCTTTAATTTTTAGGGAGTGTAAAAGGCTTGAAGCTGGGCTGCCTATTTATGTTCACAGGCAGGAGATTTTAAAGAGAATTTATGATGACCAGGTATTTTATTTTATCCTTTTTGTTGAGTGTTTAGTTGTTATTCTTGTGTTAATGGGTTGTTGGTAAGTGGCTGTTAGTTCTAAGTTTTGGAATTGAAGATAACAAGGAAAGAATCATAAGAAATAGATTTTATTCAGCTTCTTAGTTTTGGCACAATTTCAAGAGACCCTACTGTATGGAGAATAGGCTCTGTATTTCTACGCTGAGAAGGTTGTGATTATTTTAGTGGACTTCACTACTCAGAACCAAACAAAAGAACATTGGATATATGAAAATGGATATGAGTATCGTTTTTGAAGATTGTATTCATTATGAAATATAATTTAGATGTTGGATTTCATGAATATTAGACTGTTGCACCTTGACATGAATAAATGTGAAAAATTGCACATGTTAGTGTGCAAGCTTGCACTATTTTGTGTGAATTCGTGTATACTAGGATGTAAAGAGGTTGACGGCAAGACCTAAATCACTGAAGAATGAGGTTTTGTGCAGTATTTGTGCATATGAACAGCTGGAAAGTCACACAAACCCCATTTGTGTGCTATTCATGTACACTCGCCACTAGAAAGTTGCACGAATCCCCTTTTGCGCGCTGTTCGTGTCCACATGAATGGGCACAAGATTATTGTTTCCATGAAACATTGCAGTAGTAGAGCTTGCACAATGTCGCATGAATAGGCAGAAGATCATCTGAAAGTGCATTTTTTTCTACTTATATTCATCCAAAATAAAACAAAAACACATGTATAAACCCTTAAACCATGCGAATTGGATATTGATATTTCAGTCAACAGGGGGTGTTTCAGAATGTCATGCATATTTTAAAGTTCTCTTTTGTAATTATGCAGGGAATTTCTACCTAGCTTTCCTTCACATATGGCCACTCATACAGAATTAAATGTCTCTCGACTCCACCTCTTTGCTCCTTACATTTCTATTTACATGTTATTCAACCTGTTGATCACCTTGTGTTTTGTATTGTTTCTTTCTCATGAATCTTAAATGCCTATCAATAATGTGGTGTGGTTTGTGATATCTAGTCTGTTGATTTATCTTTTTACTATTGTAATTTGATAACAAATTGATTCTCCAATACAACCATGTATCTGGACTTTTATTCTGTTTGATGTGCTTTTTCATCTTTCTTCTGAATGTTATTTGGACAGGTGATGGTATTGATTGGAGAGACTGGTTCTGGAAAGAGTACACAGCTGGTTCAGTTTCTTGCTGATTCAGGAGTAGGTGCTGATCAGTCCATTGTTTGTACTCAGCCTCGGAAGATTGCTGCTGTTTCATTGGCACATAGGGTCAGAGAAGAAAGTAGTGGGTGCTATGGGGATGATTCAGTCATATGTTATCCCACTTTTTCATCAGCTCAGCAATTTGATTCAAAGGTAATATATATGACAGACCATTGTTTACTGCAGCACTATATGAATGATAGAAATTTATCTGGGATTTCGTGCATCATTGTTGATGAGGCTCATGAAAGGAGCTTGAACACTGATCTCCTTTTGGCATTAATTAAAGATTTACTTGGCCGGAGGTTTGATCTAAGGCTTGTGATAATGTCTGCAACAGCAGATGCAAACCAGCTTTCGGATTACTTCTTTAATTGTGCAATCTCTCATGTGATGGGAAGAAATTTTCCAGTGGATGTCAGATACGTCCCTTGTACTACAGAGGGAACTTCTGTTTCTGGTATTGTCGCATCATATGTTTCTGATGTTTTGAGGATGGCTACAGAGGTGCATAGAACCGAGAAAGAAGGAACAATTCTTGCTTTCCTTACTTCTAAAATGGAAGTAGAATATGCTTGTGAGAAGTTTAATTCTCCCTCGGCTGTTGGGTTACCGTTGCATGGAAAGCTTTCTTTTGAAGAGCAGATTCGTGTTTTCCAGAACTACCCTGGGAAAAGAAAAGTTATATTTGCCACAAATGTTGCCGAAACATCACTAACAATTCCTGGGGTCAAGTATGTGATTGATTCTGGTGTGGTCAAAGAGAGTCGTTTTGAACCTGGCACTGGCATGAATGTTCTTGAAGTTTGCGGGATCAGCCAGAGTTCGGCTAATCAACGAGCTGGTCGTGCTGGGAGAACAGAACCTGGAAGATGTTACCGACTATATAGCAAGTGGACTTTCGATTTGATGCCCCCCAATCAGGAGCCTGAGATCCGCAGAGTTCATCTTGGTGTTGCTGTTCTGAGGATACTCGCATTGGGAATGAAGAATGTACAGAGTTTTGATTTTGTGGATGCACCCAGTGCCAAAGCCATTGAAATGGCAATTAGGAATCTTCTTCAATTGGGAGCTATTAAGCTGAACAATAATGTCTACGAATTAACGACTGATGGTCGATCCATGGTTAAATTGGGCATTGAGCCTCGACTTGGTAAATTGGTTATCAGTTGCTTTAATAATCGCTTGGGCCGGGAGGGTGTTGTTCTTGCTGCTGTAATGGCAAATGCCAGTAGCATATTTTGCAGAGTTGGTAGTGCTGGTGATAAGCTAAAAGCTGATTGCCTTAAGGTGCAATTTTGTCATCAAAACGGTGACCTCTTTACTCTGCTCTCTGTATACAAGGAATGGGAGTCTCTCCCCAAAGAGGAGAGAAATAAATGGTGCTGGGAAAACAGCATTAATGCCAAATCCATGCGGAGATGTCAGGAAACAATCAAGGAGTTGGAGATTTGCCTAAGAAAGGAACTTAATTATATCATTCCGAGTTACTGGCTCTGGGATCCTCAAAAATATACTGAGCATGATAAGCTGTTGAAGGAGATTATACTCTCTGCCCTCTCTGAAAATGTGGCTATGTACTCTGGGTATGATCAACTCGGTTATGAAGTGGCGTTGACTGGACAACATGTTCAGATTCATCCGTCAAGTTCATTATTAATATTTGGTCAGAAGCCAAATTGGGTTGTTTTTAGTGAACTACTATCAGCAACTAATCAATATTTGGTTTGTGTTACTGCCTTTGATATTGAGAGTTTGTCTACCCTTTGTTCTGCTCCTTTGGTTGATGTGTCTAAGATGGAAAAGCAGAAGTTGCAAGTCAGAGTGATGACTGGTTTTGGCAGTATCCTCCTTAAAAAGTTTTGTGGGAAGTCTAACAGTAGTGTCCATTCCCTTGTATCATGTGTTCGGACTGCCTATATGGATAAAAGAATTGGTATTGAAGTCAACGTTGACCAGAATCAGATTCTTGTATTTGCCTCTTCACAGGACATGGATAAGGTTGTTGGCCATGTAAATAATGTGTTAGAGTATGAAAAAAGATGGTTGCATAATGAGTGTGTAGAGAAGTGCTTATATCATGGAGCTGGTGTCTCACCATCTATGGCGCTGTTTGGAGCTGGTGCTGAAATCAAGCATTTAGAACTTGAAAAGAGATTTTTAACTGTTGATGTATTTCATTCAAATGCAAATATCCTGGATGATAAGGAGCTTTTGATGTTTCTTGAGAAAAATTCCTCTGGTAGTATTTGTGCTGTCCACAAGTTTGCAGGCACTGGACAAGAGAGCGATGACAATGAAAAGTGGGGCAGGGTAATGTTTCTTACCCCTGATGCTGCTAGAAAAGCTGCAGAGCTGAATGAAGTTGAATTTGGTGGTTCTCTGCTGAAGGTACTACCGTCACGGACAACCTTTGGAGTTGATAAAACTTATTCATTCCCTGCGGTCAGGGCGAGAGTTTCCTGGCCTCGTAGGCACAGTAAGGGGGTTGCAATTGCTAAATGTAACTTTCATGACGTTGAATTATTGATTAATGATCTTGCTAATCTGACGATTGGAGGAAGGTTTATTAGATGTGAAGTTAGCAGAAAGTGTATGGATTCTGTTGTGATAAGTGGATTTGATAAAGAACTTTCTGAAGATGAAGTTTTAGATGAATTGAGGAAAGTTACTGAGAGGAGATTTCTTGATTTTTTCCTGGTGAGAGGAGCTTCTGTCGAATGTCCACCATGTGATGCTTTCGAAGAAGCACTATTAAGAGAGATATCTCACTTTATGCCTAAAAGAAATCCCCAGAGTAACTGTGTCCGAGTCCAGGTTTTTGAGCCCGAATCAAAGGATGCTTTCATCAGAGCTCTTATCACTTTCGATGGAAGATTACATTTGGAGGCAGCAAGAGCTTTGGAGCAACTGGAAGGGAAAACATTGCCTGGATGTCTTACATGGCAGAAAATAAAGTGCCAGCAGTTGTTTCATACCTCCTTATCCTGCCCAGTGTCGGTCTATTCTGTAATTAAGGAGCAACTGCATTCTCTGATTTCAGCCCCCAAAAAAGGTGCTTTTACTTCCTCGTTTTTATAGGTATCCAGATATACACTGACACACATATGGCTAGAAGTCTGTAATTTTGTTGTATTTGTTTATCTTTTCTCTCTGAATATTACATTTTTCCTCAAACCTTTTCATTCGGCTGGACTTAGCAGAGGAGCTAGGATTTTATTTTGGGGAGGTGGAGAGGGCAAGTTTTTGTAAGTATAATGTAACACATACACCTTGGCTTACAACAAACTATTTAAAAGAAATTAAGAAATACATAGATAAGTAGTTAGTTGTATTATTATTACTGAATAAAAAATTATTGCAATTATCATAGTGCTCCTTAGTCTTGAATTTAAAAGTATATAAATCTAATTATGAGAATAAACTATAAAATTTTATGAATGATTTTGGACTATTAAAATAAATTAAATGATAATCAAGTTGGCCAATTGATTTTTGGTTAAGAAATTCAATAACAATAGTTTTTATTAGGAATAATGACGAATGACTGGTTATTGCATAAACTTCAAGCCAATAATGAACAAAAATTATCTTTTGTTGAGATTTTATTTTACACAAACAAGCACCACACACATTAAATACGTATCTAGGGAAGTGATTGTTTTGAGTTTGAATTTACCTCATGAGTTCATTTAATCGGAGTAACTGTATTGTTATCTAGTTCCTCTATCTTTGAGTCAAGTTCTCTCTCTTTTGTTTTTTTAGTTTAGTTTTTTTAAATTTTCTACTTTTGGAACCCTTAGGCCATGTTTGGGGGGCTGGGACTATCGGGTGGGATGGACTAGACATGTCTCAATCTTTGGACTGCTGTTTAAGAGATTGGGACAGAACTATATTTAGTTTTATTCTCTTCATATTGTCCCAAAAGAATGGGGTTAGTTGGCCGATGCAAAGCATGGGTCTTCTAGTCCCATGTTGGGACTAAACTTTATTTACATGTTATACTCAAAATATAAATACTATACTGGTTTAAAATTAATATTATAAATATATTTTTTAAATATTATATATCAAGATTAATCGTATCTTACTTAACGAATGTTCTTAAATAATTCATGCTCCCCGTTGACCTCTTTTCCACCAGTGACTGGAATGTAGATAATCTTCTGCTTTCTTAAACGGTCATGTTCTTGAGCCTTTTAACAAATGCATAAGTTCAAAGTATAGGTTCATTTTACTGTACATTTACACTATTTATACATTTGCCATACATAGATGAGGTAGCTTAAGATATCTGTTGGTCCCTGCTGATTTTCATCCCCTTTTGATGATATTTTATCTTTCTGTACTATTTTAGTTTCCTACAAAATAAAAGGAAAAATAAAAAAAACTTAGCTACCCTGTTTAAACTTTTGAGTAAAGATTCCAACATTATCAATACAATGGATGACTTTGTAGTTGGACTTGGGAATAGCGAAGTTCGTATTGTCACTCTGATAGCATTTGAGTCCATGGTGGTTCATACAACCCTTGTATTAATGTTGGATAACTATCTTTACTTGTAAGTTATCATCATTGATCCCCAATTGTCCTATTTTTGGGTTGCTGAGGATCTTCTAATTTTGTGGTAGACTAAAAATCATGTTTATAGCTAGGAATCATTGTCTAAGATTTTGGTAGTCAATTTTTATTCAAGATTAGCTTGATGGATCAGGGAAATTCTTCTATCTGATCAGGCAGTGTATGGCACTACCATTATTTGGCCTCTGTATGAGTTTGGTTTTTGAAGGTCTTTTGTTAGGGTTTCTATATGAGATTCATGTTTTGGGTAATTCCTATGAGTAGAATCACTGGTTGACTATTACACGGTTATTCAATTGCCATCATTTTGATTTTATGCATATTTAAGCAGTATAATTTAATGGAATTCCATTAATGTTTCTGAAATATTGAGAGATGACAGTTGAATTTTTTCATTTGCAGGCGCAGAATGCCGGTTAGATAGAAATGATAATGGTTCCTATCGGGTGAGAATATCTGCCAATGCGACTAAAACTGTAGCAGATATGAGACGACCTATAGAAGAGCTTATGAGAGGGAAGACCATAAATCATGCAGATCTTACTCCATCTATTTTACAGCATCTGTTCTCAAGAGAGGGCATCAATCTGAAGAAGTCACTTCAGCAAGAGACAAAAACTTACATTATCTTTGACAGACATAACCTTAATGTAAGGATCTTTGGCTCTTCAGATAATATTGCTATTGCCGAGCAAAAATTGATTCGATCCCTTTTGGCTTTCCATGAAAGCAAGCAACTAGAAATTCATCTCCGAGGTGGAGTTCTTCCTCCTGACCTAATGAAAAGAGTTGTTAAGAAGTTTGGGCCAGACCTTCACGGGCTCAAAGAGATGGTTCCTGAGGCCGAGTTTACACTCAACAGCCGCCGCCAGGTCATTTCCATGCAGGGAGACAAAGAGTGGAAGCAGAAAGTGGAAGAGATAGTTTATGAGATTGCCCAGAAGAGTGATGGCACAGCTGAGAGAGTTGACAGTGAATATGCCTGCCCCATTTGCTTATGTGAAGTTGAGGAAAGTTACCGGCTTGAAGGTTGTGGACATACATTTTGTCGTTCATGCCTGGTGGAGCAGTGTGACTCGGCAATGAAAAACTTGGATAGTTTTCCAATATGCTGTGCTCGTGGGGGTTGTACGACTCCTATTCTACTTGCGGATTTGAGGTGTCTCTTGGCTGGTGAGAAGTTGGAGGAACTTTTTAGAGCTTCACTAGGCGCATATGTGGCATCCAGTCGGGGTACCTACAGGTTTTGCCCATCTCCTGATTGCCCGTCGATATATAGAGTTGCAGATCCAGAAACAGGAGGGGAGCCATTCTTCTGTGGAGCTTGTTTCGCGGAGACTTGCACCAAATGTCACTTGGAGCACCATCCATTCCTATCGTGTGAAAAGTATATAGAATTTAATGAAGATCCAGATGTATCACTGAAGGAGTGGTGCCAAGGAAAAGAAAATGTGAAGACTTGCCCAGTCTGTGGATACACAATTGAGAAGGTAGACGGGTGTAACCATGTTGAGTGTAAGTGTGGGAAACACGTTTGCTGGGTTTGTTTAGATTACTACAGTACTGCTGAGGACTGCTATGGCCACATGAGGGCTATTCACATGTCAATAATATGAAATTAAACTACCCTTTATTATGTAATATATGTTTATATTTACTCATCTAATCATTGTAAATACCAATTGCACACATTTTATAAGTATAGCTGTGGTTACTTGTTCCTGTTCTCCTTTATATTAATATGATAAATAAAACATTAAAAGTAGTCCGAGTTTTAGTTTCTACAAGTTTGTATGATCACATATACAAGCATTTCTTTTTTCTTCTATAGACCGTCTTGTTTTTGCAATGCCGAACCATTACTCTACCAAAGATGAATAACAAACAATCAAAAGCAAATTCAGAACAAATATTTGCACCCAAATGCAAATCCCACACTAACTATCCCTAAACAAAGTGCCAAAGCCATAAACAATGACACCCCAACTCCATCTTCCCCATCATCATCTCCCTCTTTGCCAGCACCACAACAACACAATAAATTACTCTCTGTCTTCTGCACCTTTGAAACTTGAACTTCAAGCAATCTCATCCATTGTCGATAAGCAAATATCCGCATTGAGTCCTCCAAGAAAACACAGTACAGACTGTCCCTCTCCTTTGCAAAACTTGCAGCTCTCTTCTCGGCCTCCCTTGCACGCGTCTGTGACAATCTCAACGCCTTCACAAGCTCCAGCTTTTCACTTTCACCACTTCTACACGCATCAAAATCATACCTCTCTTCCTCTTCTCGTCCCATCACACCACATATCCTATTCATAGGAGATATAACCATCTTATCCGACCCAGAAAAAACCTTCGAAGGAGGCGGCAAATCACAATTCTGCATGAGTTCAATCCCAGATTTTTGAGAAAGCAAATGACCCATCACCATATCATTGTGGTTGTTTGAAGATACTGATGCCCACTTAGCCATGGGAGATGACTTCATGCATAAAGTATTTGAGTGGTTTTGTTAATGAAAATTTTGATCAAACAGTTGAAATAAGAGAAGTTTAGAGATGGTTAATTAAATTGAAGCGTGGAAGGCAAGGAGGTTGTTGAGGTGGGAGTAGTGGTTGGATTGAGGGAGGCATGAGATAGATAACAGAGAGAGAGAGTGGCTCAAGCAACCATTGCGTATTAGAAAACAATAAAATGGGAGATATTAAAATGGTAAATGACATATCAATGGAGAAAATTGTCTTTTTCTTTTTTGAGGAAATTCGTTTCTTGCGTGTTTAGACAAACTCAGCAAGTGCTTTACTGTTTCAACTTTCAAGATTCTAATGTAAGCCAACTCATACCGATTTACATGGGCGGTTACCTTATTAATTTTAAATAGGTTTTTACATAGATAACCCCAAGATTTAGTGAAAGAATATCTTTTAATTTCTCAATCCATCCTTCACTCTTAACACTGTTGGCCACAAGGGGTAGTTTATAATTGACAAATATTTGTGAAAAGTTAATTTTGGGTAAGATGTTTAAAATATCAAAAATATTAAATGATATAAAAATATTAAAGTTTGACATTTGATAAGATATTCGAAGAAAAAAAAAAAACTTGTATTTTTTATTGTGTTGTCTGTTTTACTATTGAGTAATGCTACAGTCACCGAAGTTGTGCACCGAATTTATGCACCGAATAATGTGGTAAAATCCTGACCGTTGATTAATATTAAGTTAAAATTAATCAACGGTTAAGATTTTGTCACGTCATTCGATGCACAAATTCGGTGCACTACCGTCGGTGGCTGTATTATTTTCCTTTACCATTATGGTAGTTATTAATTTTTTTTTTTTACAAGCATTTATCAATTACAAGGGTGTAAATGTTCATTTCTGAAACTTGTGGGTCTCATTTTTCTTTCACTAAACCTTGGGGGCCGGGAAAAATAAATATAATCTCATAATTCATAAATGTTTTTTCTTATCAATTTTAAACGATTTTTTGGGTTTTAATCAAGGTTTTAAAACCCAGTCTGGGGTGAAACCTGAGAAAGTGGCTAGGTCCCGGGTTGATCAGTTGAATCAGTTTGACCTTTTCAGTTAAACAGGTGACATCAGCATGTCCAAATGATTGAAATCCAACAAAAACACCCTTAAAAATTTTATAAGTCCCTACAAGATTGAAATCCTGCAAAAACACCCCAAATTACACCATTAGCATCAACAACCCATGCCAAATAGAGTTTGCTTTCGGCATCAACAACACACCCCATCACCACGAAAACTCTCCCCTAAGCCTCCTAACCAAAACCCATCTCGTCCCACAGCCGTTTGCCTCGTTTTTGCCATCAATAGATTTTTGCAATTTTCGATCGTTTCACTCATCGAAAATCACCTCTATCGCCACCTTTCGACTCACTGACCCTTCCTCTTCAAAACCCCCAACATCCCAACCACCAATTGTCATCTTAATTTCTAGAGTTTGTCATGAACAATCAAAATTGTAACTCAGCCCGATGAAGGCCCTAGGTCCTGGTTGAACCGACCAAGCCAAGCCGAATTTTGAAACACTAGTTTTAATGCCTTTTTCATTTTAATTAAATATTATTATTATCATCAAAATTTTATGAGGATTACAATTTTTTTTTAAGTTTTAAAAATTTTATGGTGTAAGTGATGAAGATTTTATGGAGGTTGAAGAGAGTGATTAGGACATTGACTACGGTAAGTAATATCTAATGAAATTTTAGATGAGAATCTAATATTAAATTGCGTATCAAAGACAAAAGAGGAAACCTAAAAGCAATCTTAGGAATTTGAAGTTAAGTTTGAGAATCTTATGTGATTCTCTACCCCATGAAGGGTTTGTTTCCTTTTCAAATGAGCATTTCTTCCCTTATGGGGCTTCCATAAATACATATGGGTGAATTTCACATATCTTATCAAATTGGACTAATTTATTGGGATATAATTGAATTAGATTAAATGGGATAATACAAGATTGTAGTATATTAGATTGGATTAATTTTACGCTAAGGCTGGAAGTCTTTGAAATATGATAAACTTTAATCTCTTTATTATATTTTAGGTCATCATTTTAATTGTTTTGATAAGTCTTTATTTGATTTGTTTTCCTATATATATATAATCTTATTTCCGGGATGTCATAAAGAGCATCAAGCGACTTGATTTTTCCTTGCACCTAATGTGTTCATCGAAGACCTTGGGTTCCTCAAAACAACCAAAACTTTTGGGCCTGTTTGGTATGTTATTTGAAAAAAATATTATTCTAAAATACTATCTGAATAGAATATGATAGGATTAAATCAAATAGGGTAAGATTCTGATAATGTGTTTGGTATAATATCTGAAAATTATATCTGAGTTGGATAAAAATTAGAATAGTTGTTTGGTACATATTTGGAAGATATTTTCTGAAAATATTTGGATTATTTTTTAACCTCTACATTTGTTAATTTAGCTAAACACTCTCATAATAAAAGTTTATAAATTAACAAAAACACCCCTACCCACCGAAAAACTATCAACAGTCGGCTACCACCGCTGGACGGCAGACGACAATTGTCAGATCTATTGGATCTGACCTTTTTTTTTTACTAGATCTACGATCAGATCTCTTACCGTAGATCTAGCAGTTTCTAGCCAGATCTGGCCAAAAACAGCCAGATCAGCACAGACTGGCCAAATATGGTCGATCGTGCATTGTTCTAGCGTCGGCGGCCGATGGTGGCAATGACGGCAGTCAACAATGGCTTGGGTGGGTGGGGGTGTTTTTGTTAATTTATAAATTTTTATTGTGAAATGTAATTATTTTTAGTTGAATAGAGTTGGGAAAATATTAGAATAGAATAATAGAAAATAAGTCCCACACACTTTTCATTTTCAATTGAAAAAATCTATTTGATTCGGATTGATTCTCAAAATAATGATCCCAATAAGTAAACAAACACAATTTTTTTTTTTTTTAATCCAAATAGGATAACATAAAAATGATTGAAAAGAGTGAAACAAACAGGGGGTTTAATTTTCTCTTATTTGTATTTTTTCCTTTTCGTCCTAAATCTAAATTAGGGATTGGATATAGTGGATAAAAATGGATCATATTATGTTAGATTGAATTGAATTATATATAACGTTGTAGTGTTTGGTATTTCATTGTATTACACTATTTTTAAAAGGGTTATTATCAATTAGAGGATACTATTTTTTTTCTTTTTTCTGAATATACAACATATACAAAGATTGCATATAATTTTTTTTATATAAATTGATGTGATACAAAGATTGCATATAATTTTTTTTATATAAATTGATGTGACACAAGATGAATGAAAGAATCAACATAAAAGTCAACTTTAGTAAATGCATAATAAATTAGGTTGAATCATGAATGAAGTATGAGGAGAAAAATGACCCAAATATACAATTAACGGAGAACAAAATAGTAAAAATCCGTTAACATGGTTGTTGAAAATGACAAAAATAATCATTTTTTTGATGTCATCTATGATATTATTGTTAGAAAAAAAATTAAGTTAGTATACAATTAAATAAATTAAAAATTAGAAAAAATATATAATTAAAATAACTTTAGTCAAATATATATATATACATATATATATATTGTGAATTTGTTTTTTTATGTTCTTAAGTTCTTTCACTAATTAATGGCAACAAATGATATTAAGGTATAAGGTATCTGTGATTTAGATATGATATGATATAAACTATTTCCTCCAAGTCAAATTAAACATATCTATCTTCAAAATTAAAATATTTATCAACAAAAACATCCCATAGTCCTACAATTCTCTAAAAAACCTAATTAAACTCCGGTGAGATATCATTAATTTCTGCTATAAAGCCACCTGAATAGTTATAGATAAGTGTTAACCCCTTTCACAATACCATCTTGAATACATACATGAGTAAAAATAACAAAAAACCGTCTGTGTAGTGTCATATTAGCCATTAAAACAAAAGTAGATACCTAAACTGTCATTGAGAAACCTCCAACTCTCTAATGACTCTGGGTTGGTTTACCTGAATCACCATCTCTTAAAACACCATTTGTTGATCTTATTAATATGATGTTCTCTAAACTCTAAAGTAGTACAATAACAAAAAATCAATTAAAAAGAATAAAATAATTCTGAAATTTTATAATTGGAGAGTAGAATAGTTAAAATTGAATTGTCCATATGCTTGAAAAAATTAATACTGACTGCACAAAACCAAGAAAGAAAAGGAAAAGGTCATTTTCATAAGTTTTCCTAAATTTTATAAATAACCTAGCCTTATGGCCATTGTTAACGACTGTGAACAATAATTATAATTAAATACTTACTGTTGATATAGAAACCTGCACCAACCAGAGAATTCTGATCGACCTTGATGAGACCAGAATGAATGTGCGTGTGATTACGGGTAATCAGCGATGGACAAATATTAAGTGCAATAAAAAAAATGACAATGAGAATTTTTAAAGTGGTTCGGCGAGGTAAACTCTTGAGCCTACATCCACTGTTTTTTGTATTTCTTGTGAAAGCTTACAATAAGAATTATGTGTCAAAGTCATAACCCCTTTTTCATCATTTTGTGTGGGTTTATGTATAAGGTCATCTCTCTCTCTCTCTCTCTCTCTCTCTCTCTCTCTCTCTCTCTCTCTCTCTCTCTCTCTCTCTCTCTCTTTCTATATATATATATAATATATATATATACTTTATATATATATATATATATATATATATATATATATATATATATATATATATATATATCCACATCCCAACTTTCTTCCAAATCCTAATTGTTTTGAAAATAAAAGTGGTTACAAATCTCTCAATACCTAAAACTATTATTCACTACAAATACAAATACAAAAACAAGTATTGGATAACGATAATACTCTCTTAGTCTTCTTCAAAACTCTTAGGTTTTAGATATGAACATTTTTTTATCCAACTCTCTCTATTTTATTACAATATGAACTAGCATTTTTTATCCAGTTATCTATAATTTATCAATATATAGAAAACATTAATCAAATACAAAAACAGTAAATACAAAAAACATTTTTTGTCCTATTCTTTTATTTTATCAATATTCAGTTAATATACAAAATACATTCATATAAATATACATAAAACATTGATATATGGAAAACATTTTTTATACAATTCTCTCTATTTTATCCAAACAACATTTAGATCAATATACAAAAAACTTTTTATACAACTTTCTCTTTTCATCCACACAACATTCGAATAAATATATAGAAAACTTTTTTATCCAACTCTATCTATTTTATCCACCCAACATTCAAATTAATTACAGAAAACATTTTTTATCAACATATTTTATCACAATTGAACTAGCATATTCTTTGTTGGCGAAAATGAGATAAAATAGTGTACCTTGTATGAAACTTTGTTGAAAATCATGCGTTTCACTTTGGGGGCTTCTCATAAGGGATTACACTGCAAACGGTTCTACACAAGAAAAAAGCATACACAACCTCAGTCATCGTCCACATCCATGCATTTCTACCCAGCTAATATCACATTGCTTAGATAGTCTTCATCTTATTCATACCTTCTTTATATGTATCAACACTCGCGAGATTATTAACTCTATTTTTCATGTTCATAACAAACACAAAAATCTCATTGCACCCATTTATCTATACTCGTATCTCCAAAATCGTAGCTTCATTCATCTCATTTTGTCCACCTTTTATTGTAATGAACCACTAAAGTTTACCCTTTTTTTTTAGCCGTGAAGACGAACGGAAAGAGTTACATGTTTTGTTTTTTTTTTAGAAAAAAGAAATTTAATTATTACAATAAATTAATTTCAACTTTCCAACTTCTATTCTTGGAAATATTGAAGTAATCTACTTTTCTCTCTCATTCCATAATGTCAATGGAGGGAATTGTTTTCCCTCCAAAAGACAAGATTTAGAGCCAAAAATAATTATTTTACTGAATTACCTTTTCCAAAAAAAGTTTTGATTCAGATGAATTGATCCAAATAGCACTGATCCCCAATAATGAAAGAATTCGTTCAAATAACTTTATTTAACAAATAAGAATAGGTTATTTAAGTTACATCCTAAGATTATACTACTACAAAATTATATTAAAAAAACTTCTTTTATGATATTTAATATAAAAAATCTTCTATTTTATTGTAAAACATTTTATAATAAAATAAATATTTTTGTGCCTGAAATTACTTAAAGCACTTAGGCACTGCCTCGTGTTGTTGGCAGAAAACCAATCAACGAACAAAGTCTCCCAAGGTCCCGGAATCACCTAGTAATGTGACAGTTTCTAAATGTGAGGGTTATCTAGCAGGATGTCATCGGCCCAAGCGAGCGGACTTGTTCTTCTTATTGAAAATCTTATATTCACTGAAAACTTAAGTGGGAAGAATTTCTTTCCTTCTTCATTAAGATTTGTTTTAAGTTATTCAGGCGGATTTACTTAATGACGAGTGGGGATCACAGCCCCCACTCAACTTAAAAAACTTAGATTGTATAAATATTTATATTACTTACATTTTACCCCCTATAAGACTTTGATCTTTTGCCCTCACAAATTTTTTTTGTTATTTTTTGCCCCCATCGAGTGAAATTCCTGGATCGCCAATATTTGGCAAAGGTTTTCATTGAACACTCTTTAAGCTGTGTTTACTCTATTGCTTCAACGTTAGAGAGCCTATATCGGCAAAAGCCTTTACCGCTGTACTTCTAACTGTTTTTCGGGTTTTCTAGCCACCAGAGCATAAAAAAAAAAAGACCTGAAGACTTGAAGTTCTTTCACTTGTATCTATTTTAGTTTTATTATAAAGCTTATCTTGCCCTCTTTAATAATTATTAAAAAAAATTATGGAGGTATCTGTCCATCCGAATTAAGAAGAAGATATTAACTGTAATTTTATTTTTATATTAAATATAAAATAAATGACACCTTAAAAATTAGCCCATTTCTTGCTCATACAAACATGCCTTACTCATTATTACAATAATGCAATAGTTAAAAAATAATTTCTAAATAGCTAATTAAGTCATAAAATATAGTATATTAAACAACTCAAAAAAAGTGAACATTAATATTGGACAAAAAAAATCAATAATTGGAATTTGAATGATATGGGCTTCAGAAAAAATATCCAAGGAGCATAATTGGGCCAGAGAAGGGGTGGGGCATCTCAAAGTGTGTGGGGTGTCTCACGTTTACTCTTTATCTTTATTCAGCGAACTTTTTCTAATTGAAAAAATCCAAATCCAAATTCCTTTTAGAATAATGTCCACTTGAGTATTTGACACTTCACTCACTCTTGGATAGTCCCAACTAATGAATTATTTAACAACTTCAAAAATATTCAAAGACGTCTCTAATAAACTTTAAATTATTCATTAAATATCATTTAATATCTTTACAAAATATAAAAAAATAATAAATGGAGGTCTTAAAACTATAAATTGATTTTTTTTTTTTTTTTTTAAAAAAAAAGAGAGTAAAGATATGTATAATAACTCATTTTTGGAAAGATTCGGGATTTGTCAAGTAAACGAAATTACAAAAAATGAAAATTGTAATTACATTGGTCCTTATAAACTTAATAAAACTTTGTATATGGAGGAAACTTATAACTTTTTCAAGAAAAAAGTTGTAAGTTTAAGCAGAATTATAGTCAAAAGAAATTTCAGAAAACAATTTTCATAGATTGTTTGTTTGCTTAACGTTTCTTTCATTTTAATGTTTATAGCAATAATATGAGGGGAAAAAAAATTCAAAAATCTTATCCGAAATCCCTTAGGCCTTATCCTGAATGATAATTATTTTTGGGTAATTTTAAACTCTCCTTTATGTATATGAAATAACAATTTAAAATTCATTTCATTTTTGCGATAGATCATTTAGTATTAAAACCATCAACTTGTTTGAAAATATTATTGGATGATTTTCATACTAAGCAATTTATAAGGAAAACAATAAATCCTAATAATTTATCCTTATTAATATTAATAATATTAAAGAATAGTAAATAACAAGGAAAAGTTGTAAGAGAAATACTAGCTTTACAAATATATACAAAAAAGGATATACAAAAATAAATTTTATTCTTAACTTTTATAATGTTTTTTTTTTTTTTTTTAAAAGACTAAATTTATTTATATCTCTCTTATAATCTATATATATAGATTATATATATATATATATATATAATATATATAAATCGGTCCGGAAATAATAATAACGCGTAAACCGCTGAAGAAGTTGATGGACTTTGAGTGCCACAGCGAGACACGAAATACCAAGAAATGCACCCAACTCCCATCATTCCTGATACTGAATGTCTTACTCCCAAACAAACCTCGGGGAAATTAAAACCCACCTCAATTTGCGCTTCTCTTCTTCCCCATCCACCTCCATCACACACGGTATGCTATGGTTCTTTACCTCCATTTTTTATTTTTTGCTCTCTCTTTCTGATGGCTTTCCCTCATAGAAAATTGTTATTTAAACCATCCATTAAACTTACTGTTGACGCCAAGTCTCTTACCTTCTGTTGCTGTGAACATGGAAATGAAAATAAGTGTTCCTTTTCCTATTTCAAGAGCTGCCCATCTTGTGTTAAGTGCTGTCCTCCTCCTCCTCCTCCTCCTCCTCCTCCTCCACTGCCACGGCGGCTTCCACCGGTTGTGCCTCTGTCACGTGACCCCAATTCAGGCCTGAGAGAATTAGCCATAGCGGCTCTCACTATCTTGGCTTGTGTTATAATTGCTGCACTTCTATTTTGTATTCTATGTGCAATTGGAAGAGCTTTTTACCTGAGGAGGAGCAGATCGAGAGGAAGAAGAGACCCCCCAATAATTTTTGGTACCCAAGAAGATTTTTTTGATGAAGATCGTGGACCTCAACTGGATCATCATATATGGTATATCACCACCGTTGGTTTGCCTCAATCAGTTATTGATTCTATTGCAGTTTTTAAGTATAAAAGTTATGATGGGTTAATTGATGGAACAGAGTGCTCTGTTTGTTTGACTGAGTTTCAAGAAGATGAGAGTCTTAGGTTGTTACCAAAGTGTAGTCATGCGTTTCACATGCCTTGTATTGACACTTGGTTAAGGTCACACAAGAATTGCCCTTTGTGCCGTGCTCCTATAATCTCTGGTGTTGTTGCTCAAGGTAACGAATTGGGGTCGAGTTCGCGTGGTTTAGATTTGAGACACGAAAATGTGGGGGAGAATTTGGGGAATTATGGTGGAGAGGGAAGCAGTAGTGATGCGGGAGAAGGAGAGAGTAGTGATGGGAGAATTGGATGTGATAATAGTCGTGCAATATCAAGTGATGAAGATGCATCTGAAAATTCCAACAAGGGTTTGCCTCTGAAAATTAGAAATGGTGAATTTGATTCTCGGGTACTAAGCGATTTGACTGACAATCGCCGTGTGGTTGAAGGCGATTTACAACCAATGAGAAGGTCAGTTTCACTGGATTCATCTTCCGCCGTGATGATTTACAATGATGTGGCTGGTGGTGTTGTTCATGATAAGCAAAATTCAACTCTAAACAGTCGAATGAACTCCAAGAACTTGAAATCAAAGAGTGTATCCAAACGGAGTAGTGGAAGTTCAGGCATAACCAAATTGATGAAGAGTGCTTCAATTGGTATTGGTACATCATTGCAAAAGGGGCCGATTTCAATGAAAAGGTCATGGTCATCTGGTGGAAAATCTTCATCATCAAGGCATACAAGACGCCACTCAATCCTTTCTCTATGAAGGTAATGTTTGATCCTTTTCGACTTCAGAATTTCATGCCTGATTCTGCAAAATCAGAAATGCTGTGCAATCTTAAGGAGCTTTATATTTTCACCAAATAAAAAATAAACCATGAGCTGAGGTAAATTGTATAAATATTATAGGCAAAAAGGATCATTATACTTTCCTGCATAAATGGTTCTTTTGCAACTTTCAATTTCTTGCAGAATGTAAACATACAACTTCGAACTATGTATTTGAAAATTTTGTCCCTTATTGAGTCTGCTATTTGTGTTTTTACAATTTTGTTCTAAATTACAGAATCCTTAACAGAAAAGGTGTATGATTTGATCAATTTTTTTGCTCAATCTTAACAGAAAAGGTGTATCATACCCAGTTGAATAATGATAGAAATCCCCCCATGGAAGAGATTTATTGTTATCATAAATGAAATGTTCTAAATTGTTGTATTGTTGGATGAGTTAATATAAAAATAAGCACCTAAAATAATTCTTTTTGCAAACAATCTGCTTAAACAATTTTACTGTAATTCAGTTATAATATATACACGTAATTATGCTAATGTTTACAGCTAAGGTCAGGGACATTCTGTCATCCACTTCCAATACTCATCTGATCTTGCTTCTATAACTATTTGATCGTAAACACTCTTGTACTTTATTATTCTTATTATTGATCAAAACAATTAAAAAAAAAATGTCAACAACAGCATCAATATCATGCTATTACACAGTTGTAAAGCCATTTGGAATTTCAGACTCTTGGAATTAAATTAGAATTCAAGAGCAACAACATACTAGTATAGGTCGCTTTCATGCTCATTCATCTCAATTACTGATAGTTTGGTTTCATTGGTGTGAACTATTTGATTTTGATTGTGAGATTTTTTTTTTTTTTATTATTATTATTCGTAAATTTAGGGGTACGGGAATTTACAAACAATATGTATCCTTTTCAAATGTAGGTTCTTATGCAATCCTTAGAAAATATTTTTCAGTTTTAATAATGAAACACATTTTTTACAATCCAAATTAAGGACAACCCCACATGGTTGCCTACTTGCCTAGCCCAAGTGGCACCACCGAAGGAGAGCGTGGTCTTGAAGGGTCAAATTGTTTTATAGCTATGCGTTTATTGGTTTTCCCTTGCGTAAATCTTCCCACACAGGAAATTTGCTCGAGTGTTGAAATTTCAAGTTGCTTCAGTTTTTTATTCTTTATATTATTTTGGTTTATTTTATGAATTATGGACATATAGTGAATCTATGATTTTGAGTAACAACAAATAATTGAATGTCTTTCATTTTTATAGTATTCTGAAACCTGGACCGGCTGAATAAATTATGGACACCTATAGTGAATCCTATTGACTTTGAGTAAAAACGAGCATAATTGAATGTCTTCATTATTATCAATGTTCAGAACCTAGACCGGTTGTTTTCGACCAGTGATGGAATCGCCCCCTCTGGCTTGGAAACACTCAAAACCCGTTTTACTTATGGTTAGATGGGCCGACTTGATCGTGTATAGTAACAACTAAGGTCCGACCAATCGTAGTAAATTGAGTCACCAAATCCTAATTCTGGTAGCTTCTGCCCAACATCCCACTTGACACCACCATCAGCATCACTTCATCTCCACATCAAAACCTCCATTATCTCGAACTCCAATTGCCATCGATCGTCGTGACTCACCTATCAGCTTCACGTTTTTGCCAGATCTAGGGGTGTGTTTTTAGGATTTCAAATTTGTAGGGATGATGAATTTTGTAGGGGTGTTGTTGTGGATTTCAAACTGTTGGGCATGCTGACATCGCAGTCAGGATGACCGCACACACAAACAATGGGAATAAATTTTAGTTTGAAATTTTTTATTTGGAAATTATGCTATCATGATTAATTTTTTTTTTTTTTTTTTTTTTTTTTTTTTGAACATGGAGTCAACAATGGAATAGAATAATAATATTCCATTAACTGATTTTTTGCTTAGGGTTTGCTTTAAAAAATTCAGTATAATTGGTCTAAACTTGTAAGTTAAATAATAGTTTGATTTTTAAGGAGAATGATGAAAAAAAATATATTTCAACATTTATCTCGTACTATGCCATGTGACAAGTCTTTTATGGGAAAAGTTTTTTATTTTATTTTCATGGAAGTTGAATTTGATGTGTTATGCCTAAGAAAATAAAGGGCTGACGTGGAAGAGTCACGTGAAGGACGACCTGCCCGTCAGAGCAGCACGCACACGTCAGGCCTGCCAAGTGATGTGGAGCCCACAGCGTCCATTCTCCTGCCACAAGTCGTACGATGTCAGTGGAAAAAGGAAAATGGGACATAAAGCCGGATTATATACTGCAAATCACACCAAACCACGGATTTAGCAATGATTAACGTTTCGATTCAATAAAATAGGGAAGACCCCTTCATTAAGGGGATTCGGCCATTTTACATACAAAAGAACAAACGGAAATCTCTCTCTTGTAAACTTTGCTGTACTTTTCGTCTGATGTAAGTCAGCTCGCGACCGCGACCTGACACCATCAATATCAAACCAATCAGTGGACGTAGGATTGCTATTTTAGCATCGAACCACTTAAAAACTCCTCTACAGCTATTTTACTTTTCGGATATTCTATTTTCACGTGCATAACAGTCACTTGATATCATACACGTAAAAATCGTTGGTGTAAAAACGAGCATCAACAGTTTGGCGCTAGAAGGAGGGCTGATTTAGTGTCTACCCTTCATCAGAAGAATCTTTGACCTACTGGTCTGACAGCTACAATGGCCCGCCAATCTGAACCTGAGCAAGGGAACCAGCATGCAGAAGAGGTCCCCCTGGCCCAGAGGGACACCCCTTCCAACATACCTCTTATCTCGCAAAATGCTGCTGGGAATACCCAACAGCCCCGCAAATGGACCTGCCATCAGGAGTTACCTGGAGAGGTTTGATAATACTCTCCAGACAGTCAACCAGAGGTTGGACCGTCTGGACCAAGGCAAGTCATCCACGACAGCTAGAGCCGTACAACCGCCAAAAACGCCTGCAGGTCGCGCGGAAGCGCGGCAAAGGGCGATAGCCCGTGCCGCGAGCACTGCAGCGCGTAAGCGCAAGGGTAAACAAGTGGCAAAAAATAAGCCTACGGGTTCCCAAGGGCCGGCGAATACCAAGGGTGCCCCTAGCAGGGTATCAGCAAAGCTGAGACTCGGCGAGAGAGTGGACCCCGAGGTCCCATGCACGATGCAAGCAAACCAAGCACAAAAGCAGGGCATGGTGGTCCCGATCACCACCAGAGAGCAATCCCGATCATTATGCGGGAGGTTATCACACCTCGCGGGCGGTTCGTACCACCGCGGGGGTCGTGAAAGTGCCCCTCAAACCCGTCGTCTTCACATGCCATAGTCAGATGTGTCGAGTGCGGCTGGAAATGCCGGCCGAGGCGAGGAGGAATCCGATTTCCGGACTGTCCTGAACCGCAACCGAGAAGGGAGGGCTCGCACGGGTGAAAATAACCCCAATTGGCTCCATTACCGCCCAAATTGAGAGCTGCAGCGAGTTGGACAGGTTGAGGGAGCAGCACAAACGAGCAGACACAGGTCGTCTCTACATCCCCATTTTCCCCTGAAGTAATGGCTGCCCACTTCCACCAGGGTTCAGAATGCCGACAGCGGCGTTTGATGGAAAACTATGATCGCAGGACCATTTGTATGGTTCAACGACCTAATGGAGCCCACCAGGTTTCGGACCTTGCGAAATGCCGATGTTTGGCTGTGACACTGACTTCTCACTCCAAACGGTGGTTAAGGTCGCTCCCAACGGGTTCGATCAGTTCGTGGCTCAGATGAGCGCGACGTTCTTGCGGCATTTCCAAGCCAATCGGAAATTTTCAATGCCTTTGAGCTACCTCAGCAACATAGACAAGAAAGAGACGAATCCTGCAGTCTATGTTGACCGCTTCCACAGGGAACTACAACAGTGGCTCACGCCCAGAAGATTCCATCCGAACTCTTATAATAGCCGGAGTTCGCCGCCCAAACCGACCTGTGGAAGGAACTGCAGGTGAGGACGATATTTCTTCACCAGATTCTACAACCTGGCGGAAAAGTATCTCCGAATAGAAAATTCACTGGCGGCACTTCGCCGTCGCGATACGGCCTCCGCAGCATGTCAGGTCGGGGAGATAACAGGCGAGCTGATCGTAAAGGAGACATGATGATCAGCGAAAAGGGAAGAAAACCCCGTACGAGCGAAAAAGTCCTATGTCCTGTCCCCCGTCACGACCGCGCAAGGACCCAATACACCCGCTGAATGTGTCCATATCTTCGATCCTCGAAAATCCGAGGAAGCCAGCCTGCTCGGTGAGCCAAAAACCCATGAAAACTCCTGCAGCGGCCAGGAACAGCAAGAATAAGTCTGTATCACGGGATAACGGGCATCACACTGATGAGTGCCGAGCCCTAAAGCAGGCTATTGAAGAACTTATCAAGAAGGGGCACTTCAAGGAGTACATTGACGAACCCCAAAAGAAAACCAGGGGGAGCGAAAGAACAAGCGTGTGATCGCAGCGGTACAGCAGTGTAACTGATCTTCGGAGGTCCGCACCGCTGGAAACACACGGGGGGCGCAGGACAGGTATGCTCGGGAAGCGCATCATGACCCGATCAGCGTCATGAGCACATCGCAGCGACCTCAGAAAGCCAGGAAGGAAGAACCAACACCTCTGCGAGAAGGAGGCAGTCGCTTGCACCATCCGCACGAGGACGCTCTGGTAATCACCCCCTGATTGGATGTCATAATGTCTGCAGGATGCTTGTGGACAACGGGAGCGCTGTGAATTCTGTTCAAGTCAGCTTTCGATAGAATGAACCTGGTCGAGGCCGACCTGAAGCCAGCTCGATGCCTCTATACGGTTTTACAGGGGCTACCTAATCCCCAGGAACAATCCAGCTCCCAGTCACGCCGGCGACTACGACGAAGTGACTAGAGTTACAGAGTTCCTGGTCGTAGACTGCCCATCGGCCTTCAATGGAATCCTAGGGCGACCTCTACTGAGAACCTTTAAGGCAGTTACTTCCATCTATCATCTCAAGATGAAGTTTCCCACCCCGTCGGGGATCGGGGAGGTAGGGGTCGCAAAGTGCATCACGCGAATGCTATATAAAAGCGGTCCAAATGGCCGACAAAGGGAAGGGCATTTCGCGGTGCACGCCCCGTCAGGCCATGACGATGCCGAATCAAGCCACAGCCCGGTCCGGCAGAGGATAATATAGATCCACGAATTCA